GGCTCTTCAGATAGCTCGGCTACGCATATGCACTGAGAGTCTGAATGTGGTCATCGGACTGTGAGCATCAGGTCATTTAAAAAAAGCACTGTAAAGGCTTAAGTCAGAAATTCACTTTTAGGCACAATGTTTAAAAATCCACTGTTTTAGGCATAATACTGGAAATGATATGAAAGTTTTTGACTTTCTGAACCGATTAGGAAAAATAAAAAAATGAATCCTCCTCCAAAATAAGACGTCCATCGATGATGATTCAGTCTTATTCTAGACACAGTGGCTTCCTTATCATTGCTTCAGCATTATTAATTTTGGAGTTTTTCTCAACAGCTCAAGATGCTTATCGCTGCGTTCATTATCACTCAGCAAACACAGTGATAAGCCACTCACCACAAAGTGCTAAAATAACGAAATCGGCGACAATTCTTGAGACGCTCAACTCAAACGCCATGCTGCACTGTTAAAAAGCCCGTTGTAATTTACTCGCTGTACTCAGCTGTTGATGATGTCCAGAAGAATGAAGCGCTGATTTGTGGCTTCCAAAATCACCTTCCGGACCCTACGAGTGGTGTCCGAAACTGCACATACACACTGTCTTCCCTTGGTCACCCTGCAAAACAAGAAAAAAAAAACTGAACAACCATGTGTTTGTAAATATGGCGCGAGTCCACTAACGCGGTTTGCATCAAAACAACCATTAAAAGGCCTGATCCCATATGAATAGAAAATGATAACGGTGGTAACAGTTGTCTTGCAAAACACAGACAACAGCGATGAGAAAAAAACAACTGAGTTGATAAGAAAAACAAAATAGCGATAAGGAAGAAATAGTAATAAACAGTGATTGGAAAAAAAATAGGATATCGAGTTAGCCAAAAAAAAACGGGACAAGAATATTTTACAACAATGCGTTTTTGATTTATTCAAGAAGATCGGAGAGAGATCCGTCAATACAAGCTCAAAAAAGCCAAGAAACGGTGAAATTCAATCCGACATTACGAAGCAAAAAAGGCCACAAAAAGCCGAATTTTCTGGAAGAAATGCATGCAATGCCAAATGCATTTGAGGATAGAAAGATGCGGTGCAACAGTTCCCTTTCTGCTACTGAGACTAGCAAAATCGCCGAAGCTGGCTGGGAATTTCGATTAAAAAAACGAGTTGGATTAATGAGGCACTGAATCACCGGAGCAATCCCTAGGGTGAGGGAGGGACGCGGGCAGAGCGAGGCCGAAGGCAAACAATTGAAGTAATCAACTAGAATGCAAAAACTTTGGAAAATTTAAAACTGAAAAAAAGGGGACTGTGAGAAATTTGTGTAAAATCTTATCACTAGGCTCTATTGGGAAAATCGCTATTGCAATGGTACTTCGTTGAGCAGACAGAACGAATTGCAATTAAGTTGACCATCAAGGAGAGCAGCATTGTTCAGAGGAACTGGAAAAGTTATCGAGTAAAAAATTAGACTATGAATTGGAACTGTTCAAAAATGCATGAGGTATATATATATATATATATGTACAATCGATGTGTGTGTGTTTAGGTTCGCTTGAATGGAGGCTAACTGCGGTAAAGGATGGTGAGGGAAAAGCTCAATTAGGCCAAGGACGTAGCAGACCTCATTGCCTGGTGTATTGCAGCAAACTACTCATTTCACCGTTAACAAGCGACTCGCCATTGTCTTCTCCTTATCAGCGCGCCGATGATTAATGATAAAAATAAAAATTGCAAAAGCAATCAATGACAAACTGTTGCACAGCTCACCGAAGTGCAATTTGATGAAACATCGAACTGATAAGGGCGCATTCAATAGCGTAGAGACAACGTGTTCAATTCAGGATGTTTCAGACTGAGAGACTCGGGACTAAGAGCCGATTTTTCCGAACAGTCCGAATTCGCGAGGACACCGCCGAGAGTGCGCACTGGTGAACATAGGCGGATTCAGGACGGACTCCTGCAGGGGTTCCTCCCACCCTAGAACTATGCAAAAACTAGGAATAGAGTTGTAACACACCGCTACTTAGAGTTACTTTAGTTTAGAGTTAATTTAGATTTTAGTTTACTTTAGTTTTAGCTTTAAACCCGGGCTTTTGCAGCACCCTGTATTCGCTTATGCTGCTGAGCATATTTAGGGCCAATTTTTTTCCGGATCGGTGAGCACTACGTAATGGAGGAGCGCGTTGTTGTTCGATGAAGTAAATAAGTACAAACACCTGCCAAACCACAAGTAAAAAGAAACACCGTAGAAAAGCACGGCAAACAATGGCAAAAAAGGCAGGAGAGTGCCCGGCACCATCCGGGCAGCTCACTTAAAAGCTCCGGAACGATGCCATCCTGGTGAGTCGTCACCTACATCGCATCAACCACCGTCAGTCACATCGATCGAACCAATGCAAAGTGCACAGACACACACATTTATATGCTAGCATTGTATTGTACATACAAACACACACATACACACACGAACACGCGAACAAGGACACACACGTACATACGAATACAAAGACGTACATACGAATACAAACACGGATCCATACCAAAACACACGCGTACCTGAATGCAAATACACACACGAAAACACACACACAAACACACTTACGCAAACATACACGCACACAAACATACACGCACGCAAACAAAACATACACGTACACGTGTATTTTTACGTGTACGCAGTTGAAATAAATGGCCAGCGCACCGATTGCCGGTGCGAAGATGCGTTTTTATGCGTTTTGTGCTGTATAACAGCAGTACAAAATGCATATTGTCACGAGGTTGTCTGTGTGTATGTTTGTGTCTGTGTGTATGTGTGTGTGTCCGTCCCCATTTTGTCCCGAAGTTTCAACTCGGGAGCCACAAAAGCTAGGCGGCTGAAATTTTAGTATAGTGTTCCCCGCCAACGTGTGACACGGCAAATTTAAATTCAGCCTTCCCGTACCTGCGGGTAACACGTACGGCCCCGTAAAAGTTTTGGCGGGTAATATTGTTACCACGGGAACCACCTAAGCTAGAAGGCTGAAATTTTGTGGGCATATCCCCCGTCCCTATGCTACCCAGAAAATATAAATTCAGTTTTCTCCTGCCGTGGGTAACATTTATCGTGCCGTGAAAATTTTTGACGGGTAAATTATTATCTCGGAAACCACAAAGTCTGTGAAGCTGAAAAACGAAGTCATGGCTCCGTGGCCACGTACGACCTTCCAAATTCAAAATCAGCGCTCCCGCACTGTCGGGTATCACCTACGGCCCCGTGAAAACTTTTTGTGGTCGGGAACCACTTACGACCTCGTGAAAATTTTGGCGGGCAAACTATTATTTCGGGGATCACGGAAAGATATTCACTCTTCAAGGTTTCAAATTCAGCTTTCGTGCGCCGGTGCGTGAAATTAACCATTTTTCAACGTTTCAACTATTTTTGCATAGACTAAAGTACAAAGCAGTGAAAATCAATCGTTCAGTAGGCTGAATTGCACAAAACGCACGATCGCACCGGTTAGTCTGGTGCGCGTTGCTATGTACTGCTGTTACACAGCACAAAACGCATAAAAAAGCCGCTCCCACTTCCCAACCTCCCCCAACTCCCCAACTTCCCTCCCCAAACCTCCCTCTACTCCCCAAATCCCAAACTTCCCTCCACTCCCCAAATCCCAAACCTCCCTCCACTTCCCAAACCCCAAGCCTCCCCCCACTCCCCAAACCTCCCTCCGCTCCCCGAACTCCAACCCTCCCTCCCCAAACCCCAAACCTCTCTCCACTCCCCAAACCTCTCTCCACCCCCCAAACCACAAACCTCCCTCAACTCCCCAAACCCCGTCCCCAAA